GCACGGGGAAGACGAGGTGCACGCAGCAGAAGAACTTGAAAACCACGATGGGAGCGAAGAATACAAAAACCAGCCCATTGACAGCCCTACAGGCAACACCGATGGAGAGGGCAACCAGCTCCAAGATATGTCACCTGATTTGAGATCTGGGAAACCTTCGGTCACGACAGTGTTACTGTTAACCAGGTGAGTGTTTTTGCCCTTGTGACTGTCCCCCTACAGAGCATGAGTGAACCCTACAGCTCCGGATTGGTTCTTGTTGCGATGATGTTGATATTACTCCGTTCCCCGCCTAAGCGGTTGTGCGGTAAACGCTTTGCTGCAAGTCGCTTTCGTATCAATGAGGCCCAGCTTCTGCGACGGGCCGATGAGGATGTAGGGCTGGTGAACAGCGAAGAGAACAACGGATGGGACGATCTCATCAACGATGAAAGCATTCCCCTAAAGCCCACTCCGAGAAAGAACATCTCGGTGCACTATGGGAGTGCACAAGGACATTGGATCTAAGGAGGAACAGAAGATCAGGGTTCTAATCAGAGATAACTCTAAATACACAACCTTCCAGCGTGGTAGCTGCAGATTAGTTCGGGAATTCCTTGTACATCAGTCATTATGTCTTTATACCTCTTCGTACCCTCGTACGTGCTGATGATAAAGCAAGTGCACAAAAAGATGTATCGTAGTTGGTTACCCCAAGCATAAGATGGCACTGTGTCTTATTGTAGTGCGAGTTCAAGCTAGCTTGAACACCGCCGCGATTAGCCCCACGCTGCAGTCGTGCTGTTCGAGATGTCGGACACTGGCTAAAATGGTAAATAGGAAGGACAGACCTGTAGTTGACTATGAGATGTCCATCCGTCGCAAAGGACTGAGGTTCATTTAGCTCACAAGATGCGACGGCAAGCTGATACACACATACCTTGAACAAATTCGATACTGTGTCATCGGGAGCGGGCGAGAACGCCAAGTTGATATAAGTGAACTTCGCGAACGAACAATGAACAAACAAGTTCTCGCGTGCAAATTGAAACCCATACCAACGGATCCCCAGCTTTCCAACTAAGCTCCTTCCTCAAAAACTGGATGACAGCCTGAAATCGGTTTGCAGCAGTTATCTTGTAAAAATTCTGCTTCATGATCGGGGCATTTCCGACCGCCTTGAAACGCACGATTACTGTGAATTCACGTTTGTGCCATTGAAATTTTGTCTAGAACACGTCATCGAGCACCCGGCTGACCTTTGGAAGGATCTTTCTTCTTGTATGTCTCTAGGGCTTGGATAGCTTGCATGAGGCCCTCTCCGCCTTCTCCTGGTGTCCAGGGGAGTGAAGCCTGACGACCTAGGTCCTCGGGACTGCCTTGCGGTTGAGCCATCGCTGTGGACACGTCTATATCTGATCGAGGTTGGCGTAATCGTGGCGGTCGTTGGTCAAGCGACTCAGAATTTCCAGGCTCGACAATAGACGCAAAAGGAAACTGGTGTTTTGCTTGGTACGGACGCTTACAGGCAGTGGCACTTGTTCTTCGCAGCGGCTGCTCCGTGCGGAGCCAAAGGTGCACTGAATCCACTGAGAAACATTTCAAACGATTATTACAATCCATAACCATGTGTGCCACTGTATAGGTGTTCTAGTTGTTCACTACCATTGTCATTGTCATCAACCTCGCTTCAGACTTTAACCTCCTTTACATCAGCAGGGACAAACTTCCCAGACCCCTTTGCAAAGATATCCTGAGATTAAAGGGGAGTGAGCATTCCTAGTTTCCATGGACAGAGGCCATACCTTGACCATTCCTTTCGTAATCATCGTCAAAGCCTCCCTGCTTTCCCACAGAGGATACAAAACCACAGCAAATGCTGAACAGAATGTCCAGAGAATCCCAACCACGACCCAGACCGTGAACCCGGTGGTACTAAAGATGGTTGAAGCCCCGAACAGAGGGAGTGGGATGAGGATCATAAAGATCACGGTCTAGGAACAGCCAGTATACAAGAGTTAGTCACAAAGTCGAATCGAAGCCGACTTGCAGCGTGCCGCGCACCATGATAACGGACGACCACGCAGCAAATCTGAAAGCCTCCTCGAGGCCCACAGGATCAAGCTTACTGTCTTGCGTAGTGGCATTCGAGACGGTCAGCGCTGATGAGTTTGGCACCTTCTTTTCGTCTTCAGTATCCTCAGCGACTTCAGCGGGCTTCTTATGAGCCCCGAGCGTGTTGATGGCGCGTGTCGCGACAAAGTCGTAGTTTTCGGGCCACTGCGGATTGTTCGAGCGTTAGCGCCTCGCTTGCACATCTCAGAGCAAGGAAACTCGGCTCACAAGCAGAGAAGCGACAACGGCTACTATTCCTCCAACACCGATTGATGCAAGGTTTCCTGCAAGCATCTCATAGTTACCTGTTCACAAGTCCATTAGTATAGACGTGACTCGCGGGCCCTCAAAGACCTCATCGCACCTCCGCTTGTCTGTCACAGATGAACTTGATGTCAACAAAACTCGGAGGGTGACAGAGTTGCGCCTTACGGTGACGTTGATAACACCTGCATTATACGCAGCTGTGACACCTAGCCATGCAGCAATACCAACCACAAAACCGATAACGGCACCCCCAATGCATCCAGCACGGCTGGCCTTGCTCCACGTGATGCAAAGCGCAATAGGAACAACAGCCGAACCAAGGATGACACCCATAAAGGTCTGGTCCATTAGGAGAAGGTAAATCCAGGTCCATTGACATAGCGAGAGAACTTGACGTACATAGAGCCAACCCATGGACACGCCGATATAGAAGAAGATGACCCCAGCAAGACCCATCACGAGGGCGAATATGGCGACCTGTAAGATAATTGTTTGAGTGCTAGCTCACATCTAGGGAGCAAAAAAAACACATACCCCAGCATGACTCATGCGGAGAATTTGCTCCTCTGTAGCTTGGGGGTTAATGTACCTCTGCCACGGTTTTAACCCCTTCGTACATGCTTGTAGAAAAGACAACCTTACCACATATATATCATACGTCAAGATGGACGAGACAGCAATCAGCTCAGCGCTCGTTGCACTGGTCACAGCTAAAAACAAGACAATGAGAAGGGCTGCTGCCCCGCTCTGTCCCAAAAGTGTAGCAGCAGCAAGGGAAGCAGGTAGTCCCGCTGAAATCTCGTCAGGTGTCAGAGGGGGGAGCAGAGATATGAAATCGCTCGCAGTCGGTACTTGTGTAGGCGATGAAGGTGCGGGAACAGCTCCGAAAGCAACAGCGGCTAGACCGAGGGTGGTGGAGAACGCGAAGGGAATGGCAAACCATGCAATTCCACCGATAAGGTATGCCTTGACGGTCGTTGCAGGTCGGCTGGCAATCGCACGTTGCCAGTATGCCTGGTCCTGGAACACAGTGGCAAAGTTGCCAATCAAGTTGATAACGCCGAATATGAGGCCGTTTTTTGAACGGAGGGTGAGGTAAGATCCCCCAGCGTTTCCAGAAACCGGTATCATAGCTGTGGCCTGGGAGAGGAGGTAGTGCATTTTGCTGATGGAACCAATGTATTCAGACGATGCGTAGACCGTGAACACGAACGTAAGGATGATGGCAAAGAGGACCGTGGTGTGCGTACTAGATTGGGAGCCATCAAGAGCGAACGTTAAGCGATCATGAATCACGCACTAGTCGCATAGCAGTGTAGACCGCATCCCGCCCACTACCACATAGATCGCGACCCCAAGAGGGATCAGGAAACATGCAGCGATGGTGCTCATCCCAGTCAGACTCGTAACTGTGGCTGAACCTCCCAAAACAAGCATAGAGGAGACGATAAGGTTCGTGGCGAGGCCAAAAAACATGAATATAAGGTGGGCAACAGTACCCCAGCGCGTAGCGACGATTTCTAGCCATGTGTGAGCGTACGGAGCGTTGAGTTTGAGCTTTGCGGCCAACTGGGCAAACAGAAGGACCTGTACGGTGGCACCCGCGGCGTACCACCATGGTCCAGATATGCCATATCTATAAGCAACTGCACTGGATTGGAGCTATTGATGATGCTTCGTTCGGTACCTGAAATCCATATTTGCAACGAACATGTATTTACCAGCGTAGCAGCCCACGTCCAGGCGGAAACGATGCCAGAAGCGATTAGGCCTGGTTTGACGCTTCGTGAAGCGGAAGTAAACTCTTCCGAGTTCTTGGGTGACACTCCGGTGTATCGTGTCTGAATGGCCGTCAAGCAGACCATAAAGGCGCTGAAGAACAGACCAATTCCTATGGGTTGGACTATATAAGAAACCATGGCGGGATATGTTTCCCATGTTTAATACTCACCGACTACTGGAAACGTGTGTGCCAGTAAGTTGGAACCCATCAACGTTCAACAGTTACTCAGGAGTCTTGTACTCACCGACTCCGTAACCCGCGCCTTGGGGAAGGGCTTCCGTTGACATACTATGAAGCTGTGAGGGGGAAAGCAGACAGCCAGGGCAAGCAATCTGCACTCCCAGTTCATTATATAAGTGTGAAAACTCCCCACTTGGCCCTTATCAGTAAGATACACACAAGAAACTATCAGTGCAATCGAGAGTTCTCTTTGACGGACCATAAGACGCAAATCATTTCATTGCACATCACAGCTAGCTAGCCACAATATTATCGTTTACACGGAGATCGATCCGTCAAATATACTCAACCCGGATACACATTGCATATTCTAGCTGTCAAGAGGTGTTCAACGGCACCAGCCGCGAGCGATATCTACTCGACGTTTTCAAGCAGGAAACCAGGTTTTGCATGTGCCTTCTCCAGCTGCAGTCTTATCATGTCAATTCCCATCAAAGACTGAATGACAGGACGTGAGAAGGCAGTGCAGATAAGGGCTTAAACACAGGTACCCCTGGCAGGGTCAGGACAGAAAACCAATATCAAAACGAGAGGGAGTGACTGGGACAGGAGGTCAGCGCACCGTTTCTAGTTTCTGGGCGGGCAGCGCGATGAGAGAAGACAATCAAAAAGGTTTTGACAAGAACGAGATTCGAACTCGTGCCCTTTCGGACTGGATAGATCACGCGACCAAAGTTACGTAAGCCTGATTCCAGCGCCTTAGACCGCTCGGCCATCTTGCCGCGGGGATCCTGCGCCCCATTGGACCGTCGAAGCGGGACGGAACGGCGATGACAACCGCCAAGTGACTGCAACGAGAGATATCAGCTGGGTCGCACCACGCTGAAGCCCCCGAATGTTCATCAGAATCTAGACGCGTTTGTCTGGTGCCTCATGAACGGCCAGCGTCTGATGGACGTCTGCATAAAGAAAACTAGTAGTACGCACAACTTTACTTAGCATAACCTCTAACGTTCGTGCAAGGAAAACACTGTTCGATTGGGCAGGTCACTTCAAAGTCCGATAGGCCTTACACGTATTGCCAAAGAACGAGCGTGACTGGCGAAACACCAGTACTAGCAGGCTACATACAAGGCTGGGCTCAGATCAGTAAAAGTTGTTTCTTCGACGCGATGGTGGGTGATTCATTCTCGCAAAATATCTCCTCGTTATGACACCGCGCAGGTAGTTCTTGCAGCTTCAATATGCACCAAAGGCGGCAAAGGTATGATCGCGAGGCTTCTCAACGTGCTCATCTTCTAAGCACTCTCGCAGCCGTTCTTTCGCGTCAATTCCACCCGATGACACGAACCAGAATCGAATCTCTCCTTGCCTCCTTCCCAAAACTCATCCCCACGAACAGCCAACACACCTCCGTCGAAACCTCCCAAGTCCGCTACGTCTACCAACCCCTTGAAGATCTCTACATCCTTCTCATCACTAATAAAGCATCAAATATCCTCCAGGACATCGATACATTGCATCTCTTTGCTCGGGTCGTGTCAGATATGTGCAAGAGCGTCGATGAGCGCGAGATTCAGAGACAGTCGTTTGAGTTGCTCGGGGCTTTTGACGAGGTTGTCAGCTTGGGATATCGGGAACAGGTCAACTTGATGCAGGTCAGGAGTGCGCTGGAGATGGAGTCGCACGAGGAGAAGATCCAAGAAATCATTGCCCGAGTAAGTGCATCCTTTTGACCAAAACTAAACCACGTCATGATGCTGGAACCAACGCAGAACAAAGAAGCAGAGGCAAAAGAGGAGCTCAAGCGCCGCGCCCGTCAACTTGAGATGCAACGCAGGGAACAGCAGAAGCGTGCTGCTGCTATGGGCGGCGCTGGAGGTGGTTCCTCGTACCTCGGTGGCGGTGTCTCCGGATATTCCTCCGTCCCGCGTTACGACGCCTTAGAAGCCCCAGCTGCACGTACTGCGTCGCCTGCACCAGCCGCTGCATCGCGCCCTCCACAATTCAAGACTGGTGGTATGAAACTCGGTAGTAAGAAAACCCGACAGGCAGAATTACTCGACGCGCTTGGAGGCGAGGTCCTCGCTGTCGAGGAAATGTCATCCCCTCCAACGCCCGTTCCGGTGGAACCACCTACTCTTGCTCAAAAACATGCCAGAGGCAGTCTGCCCGCTGTAGCTTCAGAGAGGTATGTTATGAGATACTCTGCTTGTCATTAGTTGGTGAGGACTAAATCCGATATCTAGCGTACACGTCGTGATCAAGGAAACAATCTCAGTCTCCCTCATACGCGAAGGCGGGGTCAAATCCATGGAACTCAAAGGCGATATGAACCTCCAAGTTTCCGATCCTTCCAACGCACACATCAAACTCGCCCTTGCACCTTTCACCAGCGGTTTTGGATCGGACCTCCAATTCAAACAACATCCCAACGTCGCCAAATTCACACCAGGTCAGGAAAAAGTTGTTGTGCTCAAGGACCCATCGAGGGCGTTTCCTGTCGGTCAAGCACTGGCAGTACTCAAATGGAGATATGCAGGCCAGGACGAGAGCTATATCCCTCTTTCAAGTAATTCTTAGTCTACAATGCTTAATCTGGCCTCACTGACACCCTGACAACCCATAGTAAACTGCTGGCCATCGACCTCGAGCGATGGTACCTGCGAAGTGAACATCGAGTACGAACTCGAAAACGAAAATATCACCCTCTACGACGTCACTATTTCCATACCTCTCCCTCCAGGGTCCTACCCAACCGTCTCTAACGACTCTGTGTGGTCCCTCAATCCTTCCACACATTCCCTTGATTGGTCCATTCTTCAAATCTCCCCAGAGGAGCGGTCTGGTACGCTCGAGTTCACCGTGAGCGGAGATGACGTTGGAGCGTTTTTCCCTGTGAAAGTGTCGTTTGTTGCGCAGGGGAGCCTCGCGGAGATCGGGATCACCAGCGTGACGAGGGCTAACGGGGGCGAAGAGGTGGTATTCTCATGTGATGCGGTCGTTAGTACGGATGAGTACCTTGTGCTGTGAGCACGAATTTGATGCTCTCCTGTTTGTATGTACGCCCCCCTACTGCGTGTTCTACCATTCGATAGCGTGGTCATTGGATGATCACGCCAAACCTACCAACCCAGCTAAAATATATAAAGCGGCAATGTAAGCATCGACGACATTCAATAAATATTCAAGTACAAGTTGAAACCTGGAACAGAGAATACAACACATGTCAGAGCAAGACTGACTCCCCACCGCCCAAACTATAAAGAGAAGCCTAATTCAACTGTACAACTTCGAAACCACCGCTTCCTTTCGCCACGACGAAGCGACCCATTCCCTCGTCAAAATCTACCTTGTCTCCGTTCACGTCGCCATCCCCACCAACCTCATCCATAAGATATAAAGCCTTGCCCGTCTCGAGGACAGGCCCAAATTGCATCTCGTAAGGCGGGAGGAAGAGGAGGCCGGGCGAACAGAGCCTTAGTTCCCTGCCTACTACGAATATCCCGCGCCCTGACGACCCAAAACGAAGGCCAGTACATGATTGGGGGACACCCGCCGCCGCCGCCTCTCTCAATGTCCCAGGGACATGTGGAGCTAGCCGCATCAAGTTATATGGGAACGTGATGGATTCGTCGATAGGTTCGTCTGTAAGAGGCACCAGCATTGACATCCACACAAAACCAGCCTTGCTCTTCGGACGTGCTGCGATGGTGAGGGAGTGCGGGACGGCTGGAGAAGAGCGCTTTGGCCTGGTGTGTAGGTCAGGTGAGCCGCGTGTAGCGCATGCGGTGAAAGCAATGGGCCGACTGATCGCTTCTTGAAACATGAACACTCGCTTGTGCTCAATGATTGCTTGGCCTTGCACCGGAACATCAGGAACGGGGAAAACGCTCATGCAATACTCCCATGCAACAAGTATATGCTCTGAGAATAGGATGAAGTCAACGAAGCCGCCAAACTACAAAAAGGCACATGTTTCAGTGTTGGTGACTCTCCCGGTTTGCTTGACTCACTAGATCGGGAAGACAAGGGAGAAGGGCTGTCCCGGTTGCCTCTGTATGCCAATCCAGAAGCTCGAGGCCTCCCCCTCCAGGCTCACCAGTCGTGTCCAGTAAAAGGAGGTGATTGGAGATGCCAGCGATGGCACCTGGAACCAGAGAATAATCACAAAGCGTTGTGAAGGGCGCCTTCAGGCTGAACGAGAGCACCTTGGCAAAGCCGCCAGACCTAGTGAGATTAGTGAAACGGCCCACTCAAAGAGAAAAACCGCTCTCACTGTTCCCTTTGTCCAACAGCGATGGCAGCCGGATTGTCGCAGTCCTTGACTACCTTGCAGGGCACCCCTTCAGGAGCAACCCACTCGGCAACTTTCTTGAGTCCCTGAGATGAACCTGGGCGGCTGACGATGAACCAGTAGACAAGTGTGTCGTTCTGAACGGTCAAAAGCTCTGCGCCGCCCAGCATAAACAAGACTTGGTCCACCCTTTTCCCTCGCTGTTTGGAAATAAGGGTGTTTGGAGAAAGGGATGGCCAACGATTTTCAAGATGTAGTGCACGGAGCGTGCGGTTTTCTAGGTCGGTAGAGGATAGATTCGAAAGGGGACATGGCGGTCCCGGAGGCGGCAAATTACGTGCCAATACTTCAGCACAAAACCTCGCATACCAAACGCAGCGGGATTTACTGAGGAGGTAATAACGTCGAGAGGTCTTCATACTCGGTTAATGACCAGGCAATTAGTAGCAAGATAGCTCACCTTTCTGAGCACCAAGATAGCATGAGCAGACGATGCCTGTAGCACCTGGATCAGGATGTCGTCCACAAGCTTGTCCAAGCTAGTAGCCATGTAGCATACAATGGAATGGGGGGTTGGATCGGGGGTATCGCTGGAAGTGCCACGACAAGGTCCTTCGACATGCGGGTTCACCGACGAGCAAAACTAGAACGGGTCTCTAGTTTGTTCAGCGCCAAGTATATACACGATGCTCTAAGACAAGCCTGGAACCTGAGGCGACCAACCGAAAAACGGGCAACGTTTTAGCCGGTCGTTGCGCTAATCTCCATTTGCGGACTCTCGTCACGACCGCCAGTTGCGAGCACGACATTGCGAATCAGGCCGATGAGTTAACATAACACGCCAAAATAGTGTAGTCCGCGACTTACATATTTGACTAGAGGCGGTCTGCGCGCTATTCCAATCAATAACTGCGACCTTGATAACAATCACCAAAAATAAGATATAGGTAGGAATAGCATCTGAAAACTGCATTGGAATCAACGAGTAAGACTCCTGGATAGTACGATGCCGCCGATGGAGAAGGAGTTGGTCATGATTTTTTTCTGTAAAACCATGACCATAAAGGGGGTCAAAATGAGGGAAAGAAAAAGTTCTACTTACTACAACTGATGAGGAGGTGCTGAACTTTGACTTGAAATCTGGCAGTTGTCGAATACAGCAAGTGAAACTTCAATACTGGTCTATACCGCTCCGTATTACGCACCGATATTCCCCTGCACAAAACGCTGCGAACCAGACTCGGCATAACGAGCCTGTGACGTCGAGAAGTCTTCATATTCTTGTTAGCGACTAACTCCTCTTTGACACGATGACTCACTTTTCCCAGTGACAAGATGTTATGAACAGACAATTACTGTAGTACCTGGATCAGAGTATTCACAAGATTTTACGGGAGGCTGAATTATGGGGATCACTGCCGATGGAAAGCACCACGACAACGCTCTTTGATTTCCGAGTTTACCAACGAGAAACCTACCTCGATG